GCTGCAGTCGAAATCACGAAGTGTAACTTTTTTACTTGTTGCCTGTTACTGTCGCGGTAAAAAACCGCTGAGAAAGAGCCAAAGCAAGAGCCTTAGTGGCGAAGTGGGTAAAACATGACCCTCCGAAAAGAGTAATCGTGGGTTCGAATCTGGCCTGGAGTCTGAGTTTTGCAAATATCTCAGCATCATTGCAATCGTGAAGATAGCCTGACTTTTCCATCAAGCTTTAGGCAATAGTTGCTATTCAGAAACAGTATCCATTCGTGTGTGAACTCATGGCATGTAGTTGTACTAAACAACGATAAACCATTGTAAGTGAATATTGCTCAATTAGACGATTTTTTCGTGCTTTCTCTATAACTTAAATTTGGTGTGCTACTGCATCTCACAGTTTGAAATACATTGAATTGAAGCATAGCTCTCTGACTGGAAAGTGCATCGTTTTTGTGAAGTAGAAATCAAGACGTTAGCAAACGGATCTCACTCATAGAAGTGATCTCGTGCCAGTTAGTCGCGAGACAATGTGGCGGGTCCACAGGTGGTCGAAAGGGAGTTAATCGTGGACCAAAACCGACGCGCCGATATGGCGCATACCTTTTGTGTTTATGAGGACGTATTCATGTATGCCGTGCGTGTGTTTATTCTCATTTATGCGGATGGTACTCTACGAGTCAATCTGGCCAAACCCTGCAATCAACTAACAGAGTAGTATATGAGAAATGGTTAGGAATTCCTTCCTACAAATGAGCTCCCCATGTAGCCTGGGAAAAGCTGGCAAGGTACCCAATTCGTACGTTTGAAGAACAGCAAGCCGTACGTGGGTTACAAACGCTAAACAGTAAAATAGCTGGGCCTTATCTCCTGACCCAGAAAGGGGCCTCAGTAGAGAAGCGTTAAGTAGGAGGAGTGCGGAGAGACTGCTAAGATCTCAGGGTTAGCTGCCTAAATCTCGAAGGACTAGGGTGACGGTCTGTACTTACACAGCACGTACATTTGCATCTCCTCGATAGAGGAGTTGATCACTCAGCTAGGAAGGATAAGGTTCAACGTCATCGGAGTTGCCCAGACGAGACGAAGCCACCCATTCAGCGCCGTCTATGACACCGGAGAAGAATTGTTCCTCGGAACATGCGACAGTAAAGGAGTTGGCGGCGTCGAAGTTCTCAGCAACACGAGTTTTGCCGTGAACGTTGACTCATTCGAGCAACTAACAACTCGAGTCGAACTCCTACAGTTGAAGAGACATGAATCATTACCGCATTTTACAATGTTCATCGTTCATGCCGACATCAAGCTATGGCGATAACGAAGTCAGACTCTTCCTCTGTATGGTCTTGGAAAAGTTCTACAAGACCATACATTCTTTGAAGGTCGTCATTGGAGATTTTAATGCTAAGATTACACTCAGGAGAACGTCGGATGAATTTCACATTGAGAGTCACGGATTAGAATACAACGAACAGAATGAGGGGCGGTCTGAATTTGTCATGAAGACCAAGGCCATTTATGATAACTCGCAATTCCCGAATCCGCACTACCAACGCTGGATGTGGGAGTCTCTTGGTGGAGAGTACCATAACGAAATAGACCACATCGTATTAAATCGAAGATTTTGCCTTAATAGCAACATACCTACTCCTTTGAGTTTGAGTCGACTTAGCCAATGCACCAATCAATACATTGGTGTTGAGCAGGTCGACTCGAACTCTAAGAAGTAGATACGTTACTATTCTGTATTTCGCAGGGAAACCGATACAGACTTGCTCAATTAATTAGTTGGCTGTTGGAAGGATGCCCTGCTCGATAACATCGATGATGAATACTATCAGCTCATTCAACATCTTCACGTTGGGACTATGAAAGCTGAGAGTTCAAAAGTCACCAAAAATCGTCTGTCTCCAGAAACACTCGAGCTGATACGCCAACGTGGAATCTCACGAACTCCATGCAACCGCCAATTCACATTCGAACTTACAAAACAACGCAGATAAGAGGTAAAACAAGTTCTTAAGGAGAGAGGAACAACAATTATGATTGACGCTGCAGGGGCTGGGAAAAGCATTCTCAAAGCCCACCGAAACTTCGCAATTACAAAATCAAGATGGTTGGACTCCGACGGAACAGCTACAGCTTCCAGAAAGGCAATGGACAAAATCATTTACACTTATTACTGGGATATCTTCAATAGCCATGTCCTCCTATCATCATACGAAGTAAAGAAGAGTGGATATGCTATTCAACCGGCTCTTCCTTACGAAATCAGATGTACTACTTCGTAGGTGAAGATTCGAGCAACACCTGATCCGGACGGGATAAGATATAGACACGCGAAGCATCTTCCGCCAGTCCTCATAAAAACACTATCTTGACTCTTCACACGCTACCTGTCTGGATACAAGGTTCCTACTCAGTGGTGGACCAGCAGGAGCGTGCTGTTATTCAACTAAGGTTACGCCCACGATATCGGCAACTATCGCCAATCTGCTTGAAATCTGTCGTTTACAAACTCTTCACTCGAGTTATCTTAAACGGAAGTGACAGAACACTGGATGAAGGACAACTATATGAGCAAGCAAGGTAACGAAAAGGATTCAGTGCAGTGGACCACATCCACGCGACAACAGAACACATCGAAGTATCGCGAGAGTACTGAGCACCGCTCTATTTCGTTTTCATCGATTTAAAGAAGGCTTTTGACCTGGTTGAGCTGGAAGCTACCACGGAGGTCCTGGACGGCAAGAGAGTCCTTATTCAGTACTTGAAGATTCTTCGTCAGGCATTCAAAAAATTGACAACCAAAATGTCACCATTCTGTGACGATAATAACATCGTCGTTAAGAGATGGTTTAGAGAAGGCGTTACCGTCTCACCAAAATTATTTACTGCCGGCCTCCTGAATGTCATGCAAGCATATGAATAGGACAAAATTGGAGGAAAAATCGATAGTCGGCAATGACACCATCATTGCTTTGTGGATGACAAAGTTTCCATAATACCAAGAATTAATCAGTTGAAACGAATGCTTGCCGACTTTGATAAGGCCTGTAGAAAGATTGGTCTTCGACTGAATCTCACAAAAACGGTGTTCATGGGAAACGGATTGGCTACGTTACCCCATTCACGCTAAACGGAATATCTCCGGGTGCTGCAGTTACGTCTGTCTAGGTCGGGAAATCAACATGATGAAGGACTTAGCTTCAGAGTTGAGCAGAAAGGAACGAGCGGCTTGGAGAACTTTCAAGGACATCGAGGATGTAGTGAGGAAAACAAAGAACACATAACTCCGTGCGCACCTTTTTGACTCCATGATTCTTCCTCCCTTAACATATTTATCGTGGTTTCTGTTATAGAAGTCGGGTTTTCTCTTTGTTCTGAAAAAATTTCTGCGTTTCTGTTATCCTTTGTATGATGTGTATTCTGCTTTACAGTTTTCCGTGTTTTTGGAGCATATACAACTATTGTATGAAGAAGAGAGAAAATTCGTCCACTATGCAGTCATACTGCCGTCAGAATTTAGTGAAGTTTCATAAGTTGTGCAAGGATTATTGCGATGTTCCCCTTCTTGTTTTGATATCCTCTCATTCCATTCGACGCCCAAAAGTCATTGTATGCATTGAACATTAGAAAACAACGAATTGCTTATCAAAAATGATGCTGCACACTGCATGCGATGCCAGTTCTTTGGTTTTCTTCCTGGTTTGCCCACACTGTCTTCAACAGTAGTAGTCTAAGCCGCAAATTGAGAAACTGAGTAGGAAATTATTAAAAATACACCATCCCATGGACGACGTCCACCACATCTTCGTTGGATGAGCTAACGATTGATTACAAGAATTCTAAGAAGTCAGCTTTATGTGTTAAAACAAGCTACTGGAAGGAAAATGAACCCGATAATACTGACCAATCACTCAGCTTCAATCTGGAACCTAAAGTGGACATTCATGGCAAGAGTGTTAAAACTAGGATTAATGAAATCTCCATAGAAATCGGTTGAAAAGAAATAGAATAAAACTGCAACGCAACAAATGTTGAATACAGGGAACGAATGCTTCAAATCTATGCGATGGTGTATCAAGGATTTTTCCCAGCTAGCAAATAATCAAAGATTGCTCACCGTAATAGATAGTTTTACTGGCTTCATTCGTGTGAGCTAATCGTCATTATTATCCAAAATGTATCGATAGGATCGATATCATCTTGGAAGAAGTCGCTTATTTATTTTTGTTGAAGAACATCATTTTATCTGCATTGCAGACTCTTCTAATAGTGTGTGTTATATTGCAGGCATAGGTCTCTCCCTCCATACGAAATGATTTCGCGAGATGGCGTTGAATACACAATTGATTTCAGTAGAACAATTGGGAGTGGTGCATTTGGAAATGTAAGACCTAAAAGATCTCCATTTTAGTTTAGTTCGTTGTTTCGGAATTTGTGGAAGAATCGATGGAATTGATTTGAATAAGTCTAAACCAGATCGTTGGGATAGAGCCTAAATCTAGACAGAGGATTATTTCCTGTGGACATCAGAATTTTTCATATGACTCGACATCACGTGTATCACATTGTGCGAATTCCAGCACTTCTTTCATTCAATGATTTGCCACGCATCCACCATACACGAAGATCTTTGAACTTTTCTGTTTGTGGGTTTAACTGCCAACTGACGATTTTCATCTTTGTCATGAATGTCGCCAAATACTGGTCAAGTCGATTTCCCTGGTGTTATCGGATAGCTGTACCTGTGCGTACCGATGTAGTTTAGAGGGAGCAATCATGTGTCACACAATTGTGGTACTAATTTCATGACCCCGAGGGGTAGGGGACTTGGTCGCCCGGGTACTGTGTCAAATCAGGGCCTGAATGTGTTGGTCCTTCCACGCATTAAGGGCCATCACTACTGTGGTGTAACCTGATCCAAACTCCAGATTAGATGCGAAGAAAAGTGAAAGCATGAAATGTGCTGTTAGAATTATTGTTTTATTAATTTTTTTCCTCTTTAGATACATCCTGGAAGAACGCGTTCTGGTCGAAATGTCGCTGTTAAACGAGCTAGAGATGAGAAAGAAATCCGTGCGGCCCAAAAGGAAGTAGAGTTCTATCGTCGCTGTGCTGGTGCTCGGAATATTGTCCAGGTGTGTAGCTACATCTGTGAATGTGTTTATGGCTATTTAGTAATTTGAAGTATACCCAGCTCTGACTCTCTTTTTGGCAAAACTTGAATGATTTGCTAATTAACCGTCTTGATCAACCAATATTATGATGTTTCTTTAGTTAGGCATGAATTATATTGGAGTTCAACTCCATGTTAAGAATGCATGGGATGGAAATGATTCCAATACCGCGGTGTATAGGATTTGACTAGGATCAATGACTCTATTGCAAAATAGTGCCAAGATTTCTTTGTTTATAGAGAATATAATTCTTGGGGCTTTTTGCAAAATAAATATAGACGGTAACTGATATTCTTTTAGTATCTTGGATGCGAACATAGAAAAGCTACAAACCATTCTCCTGAACGTTTTTCATTCGCCATGGAACGTGCCTTGTTCTCACTGGACAAACTCATGAAACGTGTTCGAAATTTACAGGGTCTTCCTAAAGAAATTATAGTTGATCTTTTATATGATTCAGGTATGTTGTTTTCAGTTCAGATATTGTGATTTGAATGAGTTCAAGACTGTCAGAGATGGAATAAATCAAGTCTATTATTTAGTTTTCGCTTTATTAACGTTGAAGGATCGTGGTATTGCTCATCGTGATATTAAACATTTGAACATACTAGTATTCCCAGGGCCAAAGAAAGGTCGAAGGTAGCTCATCGTTTGTCTCGCTTGTTTTGGTTTTTATTTAATGATCCAATTCTATTCGAAATTCGGATATGAGGCTAAAATTATTCCAGGTCACAATATTTATTCAAGTTTTGCGATATGGGTGTGTCGAGTTTTGTAGATGATGATGGAATGATGCAAACCTTAGTTGGTACGCCGAATGTTTTGGTTAGGTTTTATCATTTTTTGAACTGTTATCACTTATCAAGCATGCATTTGAAAAGCAGAAGGTAGAATGAAAACTACTCTAACAAAATTGCTTCTAAAAGTATTACATTGTTTGGAAACTAATGTAGTATTTGTAATCTCGTTTTTCCTCTGTGTATTTCTACAGTAGTTCTCTTTTCAGATGCCATGCTATTAAATATGATCGCGAAGCTAATTTTGTGCGCTTTTGCTGATTAAATTCTAGTAGAAATTGTACTTTCTAAAAATTTTATTGATTAAAGTTGAGATGTCAGTATATCGTTCTCAGCACATTTACTCCTACTGAGTTCAACCCGGATCGTTGTGCAGTGCAGACGGATCAGAACATGAATGAGGTATGGGGCCAAGGAAGTGATAATGAAAGCATAGTGCAACGTTGGTTTGGAAGAATCTTGTCGCGACGAATTCGACCTTGGAAACGAAGAGATTGCAAATCTTCCCGTTCTATTGACGACGATGAATTCTAGGCTTTCTTGCACTCAAATCCATGGAAAACTGTTTCGTAGCTTGCAGATGATTTTATTGTAAGCATGTCAGTTCTTTCGATGCGTCCAGAAAAGTGCGAAAGTCGAAGTGCTCTACAAATGGATGCCACACGAATTGAAGGACAATCGAAGAAATCTTCTGAAGTATTGTCCGCTCTTCTGCGCAACAGGAACGATCCATTTCTTGACCGTATCGTGATGTACGACGAGAAATTAATGGATCCTTTGTGGTAACCGGCCACGAGCTACTCAATGCTTATACCGCGATGAGGCTCTACGACACTTCCGAAAGCCGAAACCGCACCGGAACTCAAGCTAACCTTTTGGTGGTTTGCTTCTGATTTAATCCATCACAACTTTCTCAGTCCTGATGAAACGATTCCTACGAAGAAGTAAGTTCAGAAATTAGACGAAATAAACCAGAAACTTCAACTTCTGTGCTCCCCACTGCTCAACAGAGAAGGAACAACCTAATATATAACTTCCTGTTATTTTTTAGTGGTAGCATATTGTGTGAAATGCAACCATAAGGATGCTGAGATATTTGCGAAACTCGGACCCCAGGCCAGATTCAAACCCGCGATTACCCTTTCCGAGAGCTCACATGATACCCACTGCACTACAGAGGGCTTTGCTTTGCCCTTCTTTCGGCCAATTTTTTATCCTAACGGTGCCATCACCAATCGCTCGTCAACGGGAATGATCTGGGGAGCACAAATTGGCGTCGAAGGCAGTTGAGTTGAGGCTGTAGTCAAAATCACATTCTATAAGTTTTTATTTATTGTCTATTATTTTTTAATGGCAGCGTATTATTTAAAATGCAACTAAGATCTGAAGCCTGGGATCTGAGTTTTGCAAATATCTTAGCATCCTTGTGGTTGGATACTTGCATGGACCGTATTTTTTGATTGTGCAGGCCCCAGCACAATTTCTATTTTCTCGGAGTTTTGCTGGTTCCGCCATTTTGGTTCTTTGAGTCTCGAGGTCAACCTGGGCAAAGTCTTCCCCAGGTCGTTACCACTACAGGTAGTCGCCGCCCATGTGAATTAGAGAGAGATTTGCCACCATGCGATTAGTTTGATACCAGGATGGCGATGGATGCTGGTATTGGTTTACTCTTATCTGGGCTTCCTGATAGAAACGCCGGATTCCTTGTCAACTTGAGAGACGTCGCTGAGTGGGGTATGAATCCCATCTCTGTACATCGCAGCGTGATACCCCGGAACACCTCTCAGGCACGATGAGGCGTAAACCATTGGGAAGTGTGGTTGTACAACAACATAATATGTTGTACCCAGGTACGCATGGCTCGCCAAATGATTTCAAAGTTGGAAAGCTCGTTGCTTCCAAACTTCCTTGTTGAATCTTCAGGTTTTTTTTCGCACAATGCCAATTTCTTTTTTAGTGCCCTCCTCTAGCGTTTGCACATGCACAACGGAGTCCGCGATCTCGCGACCACTACACTCGAGAACAGTGTGATTTGTGGTCACTCGGCTGTACGGTCTATTTTGTTTCCACGGGGAAATTTCCTTTTCCAGTTGATCCAAAGGATCCTAATGTTTACGCGCAGGCCGTAGCTGTTCGAAACCGGCCGAAAGGTTATTCCTCAATTTTTCTTTAGTTTTCTTTTCACTATGGGACCACTTTCATATACTTCGTAGTAAGAATCATGTCCTACAGATGCCATTTCTGCAGAAAGAGTGAATTCTGATTCGCACAGATACATGTACAGGTACAAAACCACTATCGACAACCCTCGATATCCAATGTGAGTTTATCGTATAGAACTTTGAGTAGAACTGTTTGTATGAGTGCTGCTCTTATTATGGCAATAGAACATTATTGGACTACCGTCGGTATTTAAGGTGGTTCCGCCATTGTCTGAAGAGGTTGATCGCCATGTTGTTTAGCCCTGAACCTACCCTAGAGACTTTACGTGAGATGGTAAAATCAATGCAAGAGTCCTCTGAGAAACGATATATTTCTATCGAATCAGTTGAAATTTATAACTACTGCGATTTGAGAGCTATTCCATCGTTTAGGTGAGCCAAACACTTGTTGAAGTATTATCGCAAATTTCTGAGTTGAAGTTTCAGATCTGGGTATCCCACGCTGGCTAATGAGTTGACTCTGAGAGAAGGTGTCGAGTATCGCTTAATTTATGAAAGTCAATTAGCGGTTTTATCCGAAACTGTTGGAGAGCGGAATCTCCATCGAAACCCACCTATTCTGTTCCCATTACTTCATGAGATTCCATGGGTTCCCAAGCATTGGAGTCTATCGATCAAAGGTTTAGGTTTCTCTTTTCTAAATGTTATCACTATGTTTTCAGCATTTTTCTACGCTTAGATTCACCTAGCGATGAAAGTTTTACTGGTTCTGCTCGATCAGAAATTTTATCACAAGCTGGACAGGCTCTCTATGATTGCGACAAAATCCTAGAGGTTGTGGAAGTGTCACGAAACATCCTTCGTGATCAAGTGGAAAAGGTTAATTGGCTTAAATACATTGACTTACACTAAAGGCTATTTGTGCACCAACTTTACCTTGTACTTTCCAATTGTTTTTTTTTTTGCAGGTAAAAGCTGACCTCGAATGTCTGGGAGAAAAGATAATGATGCCGGCCAGGTTCACAATTTATGCCAAAATGCAATCATTTGGCCTGTCACCCTTTCTCAAAGAAAAAGTCGATAAAGTGAGTTGGTAAAACTATTCGAGTTTATTTTGCAGTTGCAAAATTTTCTGACCTACGATATCTATAAGCTTACTGTCCGAACACTTTGTTTCAGTCCGTTCTAAAAAGTTATAAACTATATTTTCTTCAAGAATCATTGATCTAGCCTTTTTTTGAATAAAGTTGGATAAAGCCAATCTTTTATATAGTTTTGCATTATGGGAATTACTTTAATTGCTTATAGACTGTGATGGAGCGTATCTGCGAAATGGCTGATCGTGCTGGTAAAGAGCTCGAAAAATATATGGGTTTGTTATGAGATACGGTTTTATATTTTGAAAAGTTATGCGCTGGTTCTTCTTATCGAAAAGAAATCGGACGGTGAAAAGTAGACGACAAAAGTGAAGGTGCGGTGGAATTCATTAGATATATTATAATGGGAGAGGAAGTGTTGGATATATTGTGTTTTACTTATTTGATCCTCCCTGCAGAGAGTATGAAAAAAATAAAGGATAGAGCTTTCAGCGTTGATCAATCTCTGTGGGATGCGTCATGCATTTGACTTCGTTAAGTATCGTTGGAGGTGATCGAATGCATATCTGGCCTTCACAATGATTCCCGGTGGCTTACCGATGTATCGAGCAAGTGCTGGCATCCTCCCAGATAACTCTGCTACCAATTTTCCGACTCTGGAAGGATGGAAGGCTTGCTGGGTCATGTGCGTGCGGATCGATCCCACGTGTGTGTCGCAGTGGTGCCTCCAACCACTGATCGTGTAGAGAGTATATTACACAAATGCCAAGTTTTTCCTCTTGCTGTGTAGTTGATCTGGTGGTATAAAAGGCAGTAACCCTTTATATCAGGATTTATTCGGTTATGTTTGTGCATCTTCAAGTTTTCGGTATTCCTTCAGGCCATTTAGGGGACACATGTATGAGAAAACTTAGCAGAATACGAGGCAAAAGTAGAACTAGTAGTCAATTTTTATCAAGATTGGGTTATTGAGAAATACTGTACTAAAGTTCTCCATTGGTTCCATTTCTTATTTTTTCCTTTTTTTTCGTAAGTACTGAGATAAAATAACACATAAGTAATACACATGTAGTGTGTGTGCGCACTACCACATTACTTTCCTAACACGGCAATCTTAACATTACTCTCGAAACAGCAATACACATTAAACTTGATGTGATCACGTTAGAGCAAACCATAACCAAGGAATTGACTTGCGCCTTGTAGATGAAAAACCCCTTTTCGTCAGTGGAACGAAGATTCTATTACATCATATGGGTCACATGCCGTCCTGTTCGTCGTAGAGTGACTCGAGTGGGCACCAGTAAATCTTCCATTTTTCCCTGTGCCGTGCAAGAGTAGCTCAGTGGGTTTTGCTCTCTTTAGGGACTCGTTGAACATTATGTTTTTCTTCTAGCATTTTCGTGAAGAATTCTCACCATAGCGTAGGTGATCTTCCTTTACTATGTTTGATTTCCCGAGGAATCCAGTCACTAACGACTCTTATCTATTGGTTGTCGTTCACACGCCTTACGTGTCCACTCCACCTTAACTTCGAAGATTTGTCGTATAGAACGGCGTCTTTGATTTTTAATCGTTCACGCAGGTCGGAGCTTCTGATCCCTTCGGTTATTTGTCTGAAACAGAATACGCTCAGCATCGTCCTTTCGACTGCGCATTCAATAACGTTCATTGCCGATTTGGGCTACCCAGATCAATCCCACTGACGGGTGATTGCTGATGGCATTGTTCGATAGAACTAGCTGAGAGACAATCGAAGCGAAGGACCCGCATGGTGTGGTGGTGAACGCGTTACTCCCTGGAGAGGACAATAGCGCGTTCGTTCCTCACCGCGGACACCGGCGTTCCGGAGTTTTGCAAATATCTCAGCATCATTGAAGTTATATTTCACAATATTCCCTACTGTTAAAAAGAGTAGGCAGTAAATAAAACGGTTAAGAACAAATATGTTTTTGCAAACATGGCTAAATAAAATATATATGTTTCAAAGAACTGTATGTTTTTATGATTTCTTTCTTACAGACTTCATTAACAATTCGTTGGAAAGAGCGAACGGATACCTATTTGAACTGAAAAAAATAGAAATTCATGATGAAGAACTACCTGGGATTGAAGGTTTGGCGAGTAGTTCAGAAATCTCTGTGCCATCAGAACATACGCAAACGTGTCTTCATCAATTTCAGACGAATTAAATGAATTTCTTACCAGTGGTCCTCCTGAGGTTTCCGAATATGAGAAGGATTTAGCAACCCAGTGTATTTCAAGGAGAGCATACCTGGCAAATCAGTTTTGTAATAAACCGAAAGTTTCCATAGTTCGCACTTTGCTCCAAGTTGCCAGGTTATCGTGCTATTACCTTTCATTTATGTATTTCAATCACTTCGTTTTGAAGTAATTCCCACGACCAACTTTCTCTTAACCTCGGAATTGATCGAATAATTCTCGATATTCTTTTTGAACAAACATGAGATGTTACTTTATTCTTTCTTCCGGTGAAGCTGACGTTTCATCAGTATCGCCTTCTTCAAACCCTGGAAGTGTGTATTAGTATGCAATTTACAAGTACTTCCTAATGGTTTACCGCCTCATCGCGGCTGGGAGGTGTTCCTGAGTGTGCCGCTACGATGTACAGTAGGGGATTCATTCCCCCGGCAGGGCCTCCCAAGCGAGGAGTCCGGCGTTTCCATCAGGAAATCTGGCTAAGAGTAAACCAATACCAGGTTCCACCACCATCCTAGTATAATGGTGGTCGCATAGTGGCAAGTCTCCCTCTGATCCACAAGAGCGGTGGCTGCCTGTGGTGTTGACGACTTGAGGCAGACTTTGGCTAGGCTGACCTCGGGACTCCAGAGAACTACAGTGGCTAAACGAGCAAAATTGCGAAACAGTGGAAATTTTACTGAGACCCGCATAACCAGTGAGGATGGGCCATTCAGGTATCCAAGTATTTAATAGAAGCGTAGTTTACCAGAAGAAAGAATAAAGTAACATCTCGTGTTCGTTCAACAGGAGTATCAAGAATCATTTTGTTTTGATTGTTTTAGGTTTGTGTTGGATATAACGTCCGAATTGATGAAACAGCGTTATTATGTCGAAGACTGTACAGGAATCATCGAAAGGCCTTTTCAGGAAATGAAAGTAATAGACTCCTTTATCACTTTTACGTGATCCTTAAGACACTTCAAGAATTTGGATTATTTTAATAGTGCGTCATGAAAATTTTGCAAGCGATCTCGTGTGCGCTTTGGAAGGAATTCTCGCTGTGATCCTTAAATCGACGACTGTTTTGTGTCAGACCTTTTCCTTACTTAATGAAATTTTCCACTTTTAGAGTTGCATGGAACGGTTGCAAGCTAACAATTTACTGGATAAACTTAGTTTCCAGAATGTGTTGCAATACTACAAATGTCCAGAGAAGTCAGCTATTTGATGTTTTCATTCAGACGACTAAAGTACGAACTTTACCTACCAATCTATTTCTTTTAGAATTTTGGATCAAACTCTGGAAATCCGACAGAGAACGCTGCAAATTCTCGATTTCGTGCAGCGCCAGCAAAAATAGCGGACATGGTGTTTTCTGGCTTTTACACGACTTAATCTGGATTTTGTTTCACTTTGCGTAAACTCGTATTTTCTATCACTCTAAGTAGTGAAGTCGTATGTCTAGAACCCGGTTTTGCCAGTTTCTTTTTTTTCAGATTTGCTGAGGAGCGGTTTTCGTAGGTAGTTTAAGCCAATATCGATAGATTCTGTTGTTAGATGAATCGGTGGGTTATGAGCGTGTATATGATGCATATATTGTGCACTTCGTCTATATGGCACGATTATATATTGTATTGCAAATGTACATAAATATGTAGATATGCAGAGCTTTTTGTATGATATCATAGTTCCAGTTTACTAGACTCGTACTTTTTTATTGGCGAGCTACATAGTGATGAACCATTAGACGGATGGTAGATATCGAAGTAGGAAAAAGTCGTCTATTGAAGGTTTACTAATGGAGCATGTAAGGAAGTTGTTACCAACTCTGTCAAATAGTCTCCGGAAGGTTAGTGCAATACTCTAGAAGCTGTTTTGTAATAGGCAGTAAGTAAAAAGTTAAATTTGTGATTTCGACTACATTCTCAGTTTAACCGGGTTCATTGTCGATTTGGGCTCAGCAGGTCAATCTCATTGACGGGTGATTGCTGATGGCATTGGTAGATAGAAATATTAGCTGAGAGAAAGGCGAAACGAAGGAGCCGCATTATGTGGTAGTGAACGCGTTAGCCACCTGAAAGGATAACAGAGCGTTCGAACCTACTGCAGACACCTACCATCCGGAGTTTGCAAATATCTCAGCATTTCGAAACCGACTTTCTCTAAACCTTAGTGTGACTAATCAATATGTATTCTTTCTTGATAAGCTTGCACGAGGTTAATAAATATATTTATTTTCGGGTAACGCTTCGACGTCTTCGTCTTCCTCAGAGCCGATGGTCCGAGTCGATGGTCCATGATTGTTGTTCGTCTCGACGTTGCAGCTTCGCCTTCGTGTCGAGCCAGGTCTTCCTCAGTGAGCCATCTTCTCGAATCGAATCGAAAAGACATCGAAACGTTAGCCGAAAATAAATATATTTATCAACCTCGTGCAAGCTTATCAAGAAAGAATACATATCTCAGCATTGCCAATGTGGTTGTATCACTTTTAAAGGCTTCTTGATGTCTCGTTCCAAATTTTATGACTCGGATATGTATATTAGAATAGTTTAAATACTTGTATGTGGATTCCGAAAGTATTTTTGTCAGGGAATACAGTGGGCCAATTGTTCGTTATTTAACTCGAAAGACCGACTTTCTATAAACCCCAGCATAGATAGTTGATATATTTATTTATGTGATCTTATAAACTGATCTTCTTAAGCTGACGCGAGGTTGGTACAGGTCTTCGTTGTCGTTGTCGTTGTTTTTGACGTTATTGATCGATGGCTGACGTTTCGGCGACTTCGCCTTCCTCAGAGCCTGGACGTATTTTATATTAGGATATTTTTATTATTCGGTGGAAAGGAAAGGTTAAAGTGTTAATGAAGATCAAACTATCAAATAGACGCCATATTGAACAGAAAGGCCACTCACCGTGATGTTACGTGCGGGACTGGCCCACACGTAGTTCACGTGGGGTCGCGAGCAAGACACGCCCCGGGGTCAAAATATCATTTTGAAATAGGGCGCCAGGTTACGCGTGATAGTGAGGCATTCGTCCTTCCGGTTCATCTTTGGATTTTTGAAATTTATCCAAAACGCTTCAAGAGTTTTGCGCGTTGATGTTTTCGATTCCTGCGCTAGGATCCGCATATTCACTTCAAAATCATCGCCGTTGTGCTTTTGTGCCCTATGCGTACCTAGAGAGGTGTTTAAACGGATTTTAGCTTTTCCATCTAGATGTTCTTTTATGCGGACACAAAGTGGTCTACCCGTTTTCCCGATATATTCCTCGCCGCATGCATTACATGAGATCAAGTATATTATACCTGAACTCATGCAATCCCCNGAAAGGTTAAAGTGTTAATGAAGATCAAACTATCAAATAGACGCCATATTGAACAGAAAGGCCACTCACCGTGATGTTACGTGCGGGACTGGCCCACACGTAGTTCACGTGGGGTCGCGAGCAAGACACGCCCCGGGGTCAAAATATCATTTTGAAATAGGGCGCCAGGTTACGCGTGATAGTGAGGCATTCGTCCTTCCGGTTCATCTTTGGATTTTTGAAATTTATCCAAAACGCTTCAAGAGTTTTGCGCGTTGATGTTTTCGATTCCTGCGCTAGGATCCGCATATTCACTTCAAAATCATCGCCGTTGTGCTTTTGTGCCCTATGCGTACCTAGAGAGGTGTTTAAACGGATTTTAGCTTTTCCATCTAGATGTTCTTTTATGCGGACACAAAGTGGTCTACCCGTTTTCCCGATATATTCCTCGCCGCATGCATTACATGAGATCAAGTATATTATACCTGAACTCATGCAATCCCCGTCTCTCCCGTTAGGACAGATCATACAGTTTTCTGAGCTGCACAAACGATCATAGAGACGGTTTCGAACTAACTGGCGGCGTAGGGTGTTGGGTGGGATGTCAATAATCGTTACAAAATTTTCAAGACCACTTTTTCTTAAGCACTTTTTAATGGCGTGACTTACTTTATTTGATATGAAGGGCAGCTTAAAGGGGATCTTACTTACGTCCGAAACATTCTTTGTGGAACTACCCTACGTTTTTGTCTGACACGAGTGGCTTCTACTTCGTAGCCATTGGAAATGGTTATTTTTCGTACCAGTTTTTGCGATTCCTTCCTTTCCTCTTCTCTTGTGCACCTCATTTTTAGCCGTACGATACATATTTTTGATAAGTGCTTTTTTCATGTGTGAAGGATGAGAGGAGAGGCAGTGAACTAGAATGTTTTTACTACTTGGCTTGCGATACCATTTTGTTACATAGCCACTTACTGAGAGCTTTATTTGGATGTTTAAGAATGGGAGTCCTCGGTAGGTTTTTCTCGTGTAAATTTTATATACTCTGACTGTCGGTTTAATAATTCAAAGCACTCATCTATCTGTTCTTGTGTAGAACAGACGATGAAGCAGTCGTCTATGTATCGACAGTAGAGTAAGGGTCGGTGGTCGAGAACTGGAGCTTCCACCTAAGACATGAAAGCGATGGCAAGGCTTGGTGCTAAACGCTGCCCCATCGCAACCCTCTAATTTGTGCAAAATATTTTCCAGACCACCTGAAGATTGAACAACTAAGACACTGTTTTAAGAGAGTCAGTGGTTGCGCAATCGACAAGTCGTGCATTTTTATTTTCTTTTCATGCTCTACGAGCAACTCGAGAATGGCTTGCATTGCGGAGTCATTGGACACGTTACTATAAAGTGAACTAATATCGAATTACTCCATTACATGCGTGCTGTTTGGTGTTAGGCAGATGGGTTGGAATGGATTTTAGCAGCTGGGTTAGGATAAGGTTTAGGAACCACGTTATTCTATCCGTTGGCCCGCCTATACAACTGATGATAGGTCTAACTTTATATGATGATGGGTTCGTTGACGTAATATCATCAGTAAAAGTTGAAGTAAACTTATGTGTTTTAAGCCGGTGTTCGTTCCTAAGTCGAGAAATAACTGAAGGCTCTAAACCCGCGGCCTTTGCCGTGCTGACCCATTCTTGGTTTAATTTTCGGTATTGGTTTCTGTATTCCTTTTCAGAGGATGTTCGATAGAGAGAAACATCACTGAGGTGCTCCTCTGTTATCCTAATATCCAACTAACTAGGAAGAACTACAAATTCTCCATCTTTATCACTAATAGAAAGTCTAACAGATTTTGAATTCAAAAGCTCTCTAATCTGGCTTGTTATTTGTCTTCCTTTTTTTTTTTGAAGTGTGGGCCAGATGCAGTAATCACGAGCATCGAATATTGGGTTGGGCAGGACAGGTTGAATTTAATTGATATTGGAACGGTTAACGATCATCGATTTGAAGGGTTCATGTGGGAAGCTCGGAGTAATCGGCGGCTCAATCGAATACACCGGTGCACCATTTTTTGCTGCAATTTCTGCACTGAAATTAGTAAGTTGGCATCGAATTTTATTTTCCTAGGTTTAATGTAAGAAATTACTTTAGTCGAACAATCACTTCATTATTGCCGAAGTTATGTATACCTGGTAAACTTCTATTTGTTTTATTTCTATGACCTGACTTCACATGTTGTCCGGACTCTACTACCTCTTCTGTTCCATTCCTTTTCTCACATCCGTCACCCACGAAGATCTTTGGCTTTCGTTGTGGGTTCGGCTGCCAAATGAAGGCTTTGTCTTCTTCGTAAATGTCGTTGAATATTGATCGAGAAGGATTCTCAGCCTTAGGTGGGCTCGAACCAACGGCCCTTGTTCGTATTTTTCAACGAGTTCTTCAACGCTGTCCTTTCCGCTCGCTTTAATTTGAGTTAAGCGGAATAAAACTTATAATCGACATGATTAGAATGTTTGTGGGAACAGCAGATCTGTTAAATTTTCTCTTTAGGGTGCTGATATAGTACACGTTATGTGTGCTCCCGAGGCCGTTTCTTCTATAAAGAGCTATTCTCCTGAATTGATTGTTTGTCCTGGTCTCGATCCTGACAGAGTCTTATCGGTATTTGTTTTTTGTTTATTAGTGTATACGTAGCTTTCCAATGTGCAAAGTTCTACAGTCTTTTCAGCATTACATTTAGCTACTTGAACGAATGGACGCTGTTGTACTAGGGCCAGGTCTAGGTCGAAGTTCGCAAGTGTTTCCTCTGTTTAATGCCGTGCTCGATTTTGTAAAGAGAACCAATGTGCCGTTCATAGTTGACGCAGTATGTGAAGAAGAAGTTAAATCTGTTGATCCTTTTTTTACTTTCATTTTACATGACCCGTCTTTATATTTGCTGTGCGGGTGCCAGCACTCTTTGCATTCATTTCGTTCCCTTGCATTCATCGTCCACGTAAGTCTTCGAACTTTTCGATTGTGGATCGATTTATGCTTAAGGGTTGTCATCTTCTTTATGAATGTTTTTGAATGCCGGTTGAGTGGATTCTCCCTGGAGTCCTGGGATAGCCGGGCTGGAGCGTTCTCACTTCGATTGCACGTAGTGAACTATTCCCTGACAAGTCTGATACCAATTCACCGACCACGGGGGATCAGAACCTTCGTGAACCCGGGGTAGAGTAGAACCAAAATCGTTGTCGTGATGAATGGCAGCACTAGCGCTAGCTACTCTTTTTAATCCATCATGTTATTGTAATAGACGAGGGCTTACGAGCCGTTTGTTGGATGAAGAAATTCGCAAAAGTAATCTTTTTATACGAAGACCTTCTTGAAATTTATTCAGTGGGTTTTGAAATGGAGTTTTTTTCTTGGCTACTTTTCCATTTGTTTTAGGATGGTTTATGGTTTCTTTGCGAATCGTTGCGCGAAGGCAACGTACCTTCGTTGCAATCAGCGATGCTTACACCGAACATTGTTGAATTTTCTAGGCTTTGCGAATATGCCCTCGGCATTCGCGACGTTCTAACTATTAAGGTAGGTCTAGTTTAGTTGTTTAGAAACTCTTTATAACTTTTCGCTTATGATGTTTCTCGTAATTCCTTAGCTGTTACTTTTTCCGTTTCATAGTTTTTGTGTCGTACACGAATTTTTTCTTGACGCGACTAGTCTTCACATCTAAAATGCAGAACCCAACACTTCTTGCATTCGATGAGTTTTCTCGCATCCATTATCTACGAAGGTCTTCCAAGTTTACGTGTGGCTTCGGCTACTGCTGGAGGATTTTCTTTTCATCATGAATGTCGTTGAATAATGGTCGTGTGGATTCTCTCTGAAGTCCTGAGATAGCCGAGCTAGAGCATTCCCACTTGGATTGCAGAGTGTGAACTTCTTCCAGACAAGTGCGGTAGTAATTTCCCGACTCTGGAGGGGTCAGATACCTGGTGAGCCTCGGGCCGGATTGGACCAGCATTGCGCTCGTGATGATTTACACCACTACGACTTTGGGACCCGGCCCTCGTACATGGATTTATTTATCAAAATCAAATTTTGTTTTCTACCTAGCAAATATTTGGAGCAACTCAGTGGCGAACAGATGAATGAGTTTCTAGGATTACAACTGGTCCAGTGGTCCCTGTAACACTTGGGAAAAACAGATACTAACATAGTGGATGAACTACCTGAGAGTTTCTTTAGGATCAAAATGAACTTCGAAGCTTGGCAACTCGACTTAGCTGTCATTTGGGTACTTCGTTGTTTTTGAAAGGACGAGTTGACATCATCACAAACCCCGATGGAAATGGTAGGCTTGGTCCAATGGAAAGATTTTTAGGCGGGTATAGATCCTTTATTTATTTATTGCCATGCTTACAGTGGTGATCGGAGATGAGGATGGGTGCCCAAGGAGGTGTGGGGGTCAAGGTGATGTCACCAGTGGAACATTGGCTATGTTCTTACTATGGGCTTCCAGGTACCGTGGAGATATAGATGCTCTCTTTTTGTTCTGCCAACAGATGTTAGAAACACGATTTTCTGACTCCCAAATAATGTTCTTTTCAGGACTCTTTCCAGCAGCGAAGCAAAACTTGCTGCTGGTTTGGCATCGAGTCAACTGGTCCGTCGATGTGGGAATATGGCGTTTTCATCAATTGGCAGATCAATGGTCACCACTGATATCATCAATAATATCCCTAGTGTTCTTAGAGAGATAGACGAGGGAAAGTAGTCTTTGCTTCATTATTTATGTCCGCATTTTTTCCTTTACTTTGCAGAATAATGCTTAATTGAAGGTCTTATGAATATAATGCACTTCATGGTAATAGGAGGCAGGATTTAGAACTAATTATCTGCGAAACTGTGGATAAGAGTGGTTTCGCATGTAATGCTACTCTTCAGGTCATGCTTTTCGAGAATGACTATTGATTCCTGAGATTGAAAAGCATAAAATACGGTGCTATAAGACGAATTATCTGAACAGTGCGTGCTAATACTTGAGAATTTAGAACTTGGAATGAGGAAAATTGCTGTGGTTTTACCTTCCTTATTCGAACAAATTTCATGGAGTACTTTCCACTGTGGTTCAGCCTAGATCTCGCTTAACCCATAACGCCCTGTATGGACAGTACTTACTTCGATACTTGGATGGACAGTCTTCAATGATTGTGTGGACCCCAGCATACTTTCCATTCTTTCGGAGTTTCGCTGGTTTAGCCATTGTTGTTCCCTGGAGTCTCGTGGTCAGCCTAGCCAAAGTCTGCGTCACCGGGTCGTCACCGCCACGGACAGTCACCGTCTTTGTGGTCAAAGGGAGATTTGCCATCGTGCGATTAGTTTGATCACCGTCTCTACCGCTAGGGTATATGTGCATTAGAATGACGCTCAGGACCGTAACATATGGGTGAGCTAACGCAGTGGTATTGAATACGCTGGAGAAAAACTAAACGCTGGACGAGATGCTTCATTTCAATGACAAGCATTCAGTTTCTTTCCATAGTGGGTTGTTTTTTCTTAGTCTTTTATTCTCTGTAACACCGCTCTCGCTTGTAGTAAACTTTAGTTGAAGGATCGGCACCTGACTTACTTGGAAAAACAGTGATGATAGGAGGAAATTGAATTTGAAGTAGACTTGTTTTCTAGATGGCTACAGTGAATAAATCCCATCTTTTTTTTAATATAACGCTAGTGATTTCTGTTGCCATTTAATATTCCTACTTTCTCCTGGTATGGTTGTTCTCTGCATGGATGCTTATACCATAAATCCACTGTAAGGCGAAGTTTTATTGAAACGAATTTAACCGAAAATCACATTCTTTCTCACAGGACCGAATTCATTAAGTTTTAATGGATTCTGTAGTTTTGGTTAATAGTTTTAAATGGGCAGTACTTTTCGAATTAGTAGGTTGTCAATATCTGTTCAGAGGCGGAAGAATCCGTTTCGGCAGTATTTTGGCTGATTTCTTCTGGGGTTTCGAGTACAGCGGGTCTCTAGTCTGCATCAGTGATCCGGCTAATACTACTTCTACAGCGTGACTAGCGTCAGTTCCATTCTCACCGCTCACGACATTATACACTGGCTGAAAAGGCAGATATCTTACATCGACCAATAACTACAAGAAACGAAAAAAATAAGGAAAAAGTGGTCGCTGTGCGAAGCTTGCGGACATGTTTTCTCTCAAAATAAAGAGTTGGGTCTCGAGTGATAACTCAGTCAAACCTGCTTTTTATCGATATGAACTAAATTGACAGTTAACGCATATAGTAATACTGAAACGAAATGATATTTAGTATGGGCTTATCATCCGTAACAGCTTAGAGCTCCACCGCACCCGCGATCTGTTCCTGGAGCGAAGTAGAGTGCGAGATTTATTGTTTCTCCCAAGTTGAAGAATTCGACATATCCAACCAAAAACGCTGCTAAGAGTACACCCGTCACCCGCTTGAGCCCGATTTCTACTCACATTTTTTTTGCTGCCAAAAGCAAAAAGAGTACGGGATCTCATAGAGCACCGTGATGCTTATCAAGCACCTCGCACTAGCGAAGCAATAACGGCGAATGGGAGCTTTACTGAAGCCCATTGTGCTTCATTTCTGATTAATGCTATTATGAGCTTTTTTACATGTGATTACTAAGATGGTGTCCTTCATCAAGAAGTTCACATAGTCCTGAATCCAGTACACTGTTTTTTACCAAGAACTAGATTAACATACGTTTAGGTCGCTTTTATTAACAGCGTCGATAATTGCCGGGACAGTGCTGTGTTTGTCCAAAAGGTGTTCGTTGAAAATCACACCTCCATTCCAACCAGCGTGTGCTACGTGTCTAAAAGGTCAATAATGATAGTGAAAATGCTGGATAACTGGCGATGTTGATTTGTCCGTCTGCTGTTTGTCGTCCGTGCTGGGTAAATATGCCCACACCTTCTGTCCAAAAAATCGATAGGATAGGCTGACGGATAATTCATTGAGATGAATGCGCACTCTATGGGGAACGCGCGCGATAGATAAGCAATTTCAGCTCCTTTTCATCGCACTCAAATAGTGCAAATAAAGTATAATGCTGTCGGCGTCGATCAATCCCTGAGGGATGCGCCATGCATTCGACTTCATTAAGCATCGTTTGGAGGTGACTGAATGCATATCTGGCGTTTACAATGACTCGCGGTGACCTACCGATGTATCGAGCCAGTGCTGCTACCATCCCAGACAACTTTGGTACCAATCTGCCGACCCCAGAGCGATGGAAGGCATGGTGGGCCATGGGCGCGGGGTTCGATTCCACGTGTGTGTTACAGGGCGCCTCCGACCACTGCGCCTCACGCACCCTTTTGGTGCATGGTGCAAACAGAAGAATGAAATTGCATTTCCCACCGAGATATGGCTTTTGTTTGAGAACACCATTAATGTAAACGAGAGAAGTGACTGGAATCTCACAAAAGAGCGAGAAATTGCTGAACTCACGCGAAATTTCGTGGTAGGCTGATGGACTCCAAGCATTTACCCTTTCCTTTTCGTCGCGTCGGGACCAATGGTGCTTCGAAAGTTGTCGATACTCTGAGAGCTGAATTAACGATGTTTTAATAAGGGGCTATTGCTCTAGTCGACTGGATTCCAAAGAAAAAAAAAACCAAGAAAGGACGATTACAAGTATTTCTCTTATTCTACTTCATGCGACCCATCTTTCACATCAACTGTGCGGATACCAGCACTTCTTGCATTCGATTCGTTTTCCTCGCACTCATCGTCCACAGTGGTCTTCGAACATCTCGCATGTTGTTTCGGCTACTGCTTGAGGATTGCGTCTTCTTTGTGAATGTCGTAGAGTACCAGTCGAGTCAATTCTCCTTGCAATCTTAGAGATAAATGGGCTAAGGTGTTACCACGTGGATTGGAGGAGAGCGTCGCGCGGTGACCGAACTATGCCTATGCCTCCTAATCGACACATCGCTAACCACTACACTAACCCAGCCCGATTGCAAGAAATATAACTGAATTAAAGGGCTTCTGAGAAAACTATAATCCTAAGTGTGAGTTACTTCTTTCCAATCAACTGTTTAATAACAAGGATCCTGACAATTTCAAAGCACTGATGAATTAAAGCGGCCTTTCACCAGAGTTCCTAGTAATGGCCTTTAAAATTTCCGCTTAATTCACTTACGAGAGATATGCTTCACATTGTTTAGTGTTGTTTCTCTTTCAGCTGTAGAATTCGTTGATTGGCTGCTAGTATCCTCAATATCATATCTGAAACAAAAACACTTATTGTAGATATATGTTTCATGATAAAACACCCACGATAATTATGTATTTTAATGGTTTTTAACCTGTGTAAATAAATCGACGACGTATTTTAATGCATTGCAATGTTAAGAATAAGGCAACCATAATGTAAAAAATACAACAACGAAACAATAGCTAAGAAATAGACGAAACGAACGACCTGCATGGTGTGGTGTGAACGCGTTAGCTCCAGTAAAGCGTAATAGAGCGTTCGTTCCTCACCGCAGGCACCTACCGTTTCGAGTTTTGCAAATATCTCAGCATCATTGTATTTCGCATAATATTGTGCCGTGAAAATTGTAGAGGCAAAAAATAAAAACTAAACATTAGGAATAATGGTTTTTAACTTTCGTAAACACGATCAGTCAAACTAGACAACTACATTTTTTATTATAATTCGATTATATTCGTGCTTAAGCAAATTCACAACGCTAATTTTAGAGCAATGAGGGATTTAGTTCATTTTTCGGTGTTCGTAGCACAACATGATTTGGCATTTTATTTAATAAGAAGGCGAGGCACTGGTAAGTTGACACATAATCTGTTTGAAGGGAATACTTACTTGGACACTTGGACGGTCCGCCTTCACGAGCTGTGCGGACCCCAGCACATACGCCATTCGTTCCTTTCTCTCACAATCGTAGCCCATGGTGGTTTTGTTCGAGCATGGTAGCGCTTGCGAGCCTCATACCGCGATCTGTAAAGCAACTGCGGCTACGGGTACAGCGGATTCACATTTTTTATTAGTACGTCCGCCCAACGTGTAGGTGGTCGTCCAAGGGGACGTTTGCATTCTCTTGGAGGCCACTCTATCTTTCTTTTCGTCCATCTGTCGTCTGCTCTTCTCATTATGTGACCGGCCCATCTATGTTTCGCTGTCGATGTATATCCTCCCGGATCTCGAAGATGTGACAGATTTCGAAGGTCAGAGCTTCGCATTCCGGCTACATATTGAGAGTGCCGGTTATATTTCAGAGGACATCGCACAAGAGCTCTGTGAGTAGTTCGAAGCATTCTTGAGGTAGTTGAGGTATCAAGCGACGTCTCTGCAGCATAGCACAGCGCTAGGAGGACCATAGAGTCAAAGAGATGAGCGCGGATTTTCGGGTCCTTCAGTTGGTCGGTGGCTTCTTTGAGAGGCCCCTAATGTGGCCCAAACTGCTCTCCTTCTTCTATCTAGTTCCTCTTTCATGTTGTTTTCCATGTTCATTGATCGTCCAAGGTAAACGTACGAGGTGGCCTTTGCAATGAGAGAGACATCCAATTCAATTTTTCCGCCTTGGCACCATGGGTTTTTCATAAACTGGGTCTTTTTTCGACTTATGCGAAGTCCGATCTTTTCCACGCTTCGTTGAGCTCGTTGATCATCACTTCTGCTTCGCTAGTACTTCTTGAGAAGATGACAATGTCGTTGGCAAAACGAAGGTTTCATAGGAATTTTCCATCAATACGTAAGCCTTTTTCATCCCAATCGAGTGACTTCATTATCCACTGCATTGCGGTACTGAACAACTTTGGCGATATTGTGTCGCCCTGCCGAACCCCTTTTCCTATGGGTATTGTAAGAGATCTTATGGAAAAGCTGTATTTTCGTAGTGCAGTTTCGATAACAGTCCGACAGAGTCTTTCTGAAGGACGGGTCCACTCTTTGGTCGACGAGTTCTAATAGGATCACATTCGTTTCGACACTCTCAAACGTTTTCTCATAGTCAGCGAAGGTTAGGACTAGAGGCAAGTATTCTCGACAAACTTCGAATCTTCCTGCAAAGCTCTTCTGCAACTGGCATTTATTACTAGCCATGTTAAACGTGTTACAGTAGAATCAAGCCTCAGTTTCCTTCCCTTTTCGAGCAACTCCTTAGTAGTGATGGAGATACGATCCGATCTTCTTGCTTGAGAAACTGAGGCGAATTCTGCACAACTTTTCAGTCCTTCGATAAGCAGCTCGTAGTCCTCGGTCGGGTCTTCTTTAATCTGCCAGTCACATTTGGACAGGACTTCGTTTAGAATTTTCTTATTGTATACAGCTTGACTTTTTCCTCATGGTCGATGAAGAGAGTTCTTTTCCAGCTTGCGGCTGAATCGAATCTTCGCGCGAAGAGGGCGGTAATCGGGACCAGCACAGAATGACAGGACTACCGATGTGTCAAGTAGACACCATCTTCTGCTTGTCAGAATATGGTTGATCTCCGCATGAGTCATGCCGTTGGGAGAGTCCCATGTCTAGCGGCGGCTTTCTTTCTTCTGGAAAACGAGTTTCCATGGAAGAGACGTGCTGCAGACAGGAGCCCTGCGAGACGGTTCCCATTCTTATTTCTTACTCCTAATGCAAAATTTCTGATCCTCTATTCGCTATCGTTGGCCTTTCCTATTCTGGCGTTGAAGTCGCCAACAACAAATTTGTGACATGCTTTATCATTGCGGATGACTTCCTCCAACTGATTGTAGAACGTATTTAATTCGTACTCATCAGCTGCGTGGGTCGGTGAGTAGCAGTTGATGATAGTGATCTTCTTATGATACGACAGTTGAAGACGGAGGACGGCTATGCGAAGGGAAAGGATCACGTATGAGTCGACGAGATGAACAATGGACGGGTGGAGAAAAAGCCCACGCCACCGACATTTCATGACGGGACCTTTTCTCCACGGTTCACAGGGGTCCCGTTGTTTGGTTGGCTTATGTCGGGCCTTCTCGATTGTTTGTTGTAATGCGATAAGATGAAATTTAATGCGATCTGCGGCTACAAGAAGGGCGTGAAGATCGGCGTCTGTGAAGTGTTCTGGCATTGTACGTGCATAGTAAGAAACATTCTCCATGGCGTGTCGTGCGTGTGTTCGTAAGATCCGGTTTGGACTGAGAAATGTCTAGCTGTCAGAATTCAAGCTGTTATGAATGAAAGCTCTTTTGGTAGTGAAGTATGTTTTATGCAAAATACGATCATCTTTCTCGAGTTTGGGGTAGTAGGAAGCGTAGTGGTTAGACATGTCTGTAATACACGCTTGGTAACTGGTTCAGCCGTGCACCGCGACGAGCAAACTGCCCTTTCCCCCGATGTAGGCGAAATTTGTGCTCCTAATCGGCAGGGGCTGGCAACTGCCTATGGTGGAGACTAATAGAACTTCTCCAGAATTCCAGGAAGAGTTCTTTCTTTTGGACCATTATTCAATGACATTCATGAAGAGCACAAAAGGTGTGTGAAGCAGTGCTTAGAGGTGCTCTTTAATACAGACTACATCGGTCTCTTGCTCCATTCTACGCCCCGGTCACACCAAACTTCCTGTCATTCAGGCATCACCAAATTGCTATCAGCCTTGTGTGAGGAAGATAACAGCACTGAATGATACCTCGCAAGCCCACTGCAAGTTATTGTTCAGGCCAGTTATTCATTCAGTCATCTCTACGATCCTTAAGTCGAATGCGCGGGATATTCCTCAGGAATTGACCGACTCAGAAAGCTTGATCCTCTATCTTTTTGCAAAGTCATCACGTGTTTACTGAACTTAGACACAATTCCAAAGAATTTCGTGGATGATGGATGCAAAATGAGAAACCAAGTGAAAGAAGTGCTGAAGCTCGTTCAATGTGTGAAGTGGGGTGTTAAATTTCTGAAGAGCTCTATGCACGTTCGATCCAGAACATATCGCACGACAGTGGAATGAAGGTCAGCTCATGACGCTTCTTCTTGCCATGTCTCTACCGTATACTTCCTGTTTGAAACAACACATGAAGCCCGATTCCGGTTTTTTGATAACTCCAGAATTCTTCGATGAATACAGCAGCATTTGGTGGTCTTATAGAAGAGGATTTGCGCCATTGTTCTAGTCATACAAATAATTGTTATGAAGAGTTCCTACGATATTGAATTTGTTTAAAATTCAAATTCATGGAAAATTAAGGGCGAGATTTCTACATCTAAAATTTGTAACGTAAGCGTGGCAGCCACGGGCAAAAAAACGTGTTTGAGCATACAGTTTTAACGTCTTTAAGGGGCGGATAGCACAGTGGTACTGTTGTCCGTCATCACAAGCTTGGTGCTACTTCGATTCTGCTCCCGGCCAACCAAACCTTTCATCCCTCCGGGATCGAGAAATTGGTACCGGACTTGTCTGAAAAAAATCATTCCCTGAAATCTAGTTGGGAACGCTCCAACCCAGCTATCTCAGCACTCCATCAGCATTCAAGATGAAATAGAAATCCTCAAACAGCAACCAAAGTCACACGTAACGTAGGAATATCTTCGTGGACAATGTACGAGGAAACGAATCGAATGTCAGAAGTGCTAGGATCCGCACAATTGATGTGAAGATAAGTCATACAAAATAAAATTTAAAAAAAATTTTAACGTGTTTTACCAAGTCCAACTGCTTATTTACTTCGATATTCGAAATACGAGCCTCGAGGAACAAAAAGAATGTTTTGTGGGCTCCAAAAAATCAGAAATTAACCCTAGTAGAATAACGAAGAGCTAGTTAGCAAGGATTTTTAGCTTTAGTGGTTTCTATTCTGCTTAATAATGTTCACTACGAGCTGATATACGCTCGTTTAAAGTTGCAGTGCACAATTGCTTTCGGGCATGTACGCATTGAAAACAATTCATCTCGTTCGTTAAGTGTCACAACCACAAGTTACATTTAACCACAGATGTAATGTAAATTGAAATCGTCAACAATTTTTAATAAGCGCACAAAGTGCCATATGAAAAGGTGAAACCTAAGCTAATTATAACCGACTCTGAATAGTTCGTTGACATTGTCCAGTTAACTCAGAGTACCTTAGATGTGAAGGTTGGGAGATATTAGTTACTTTTTCGATTTTCCAGTACAACTTACAGGTGCTTGGAATTTGGTTTCTTGGTTTTCATACCCATTTGGACGATTCTTCTTTCTACGTCTTCGGAAAGTCCATGAATCTTGAAGAATCTACAACGAAAAACTGGTCTTATTCAAATAGATTTACGTGTCCATTAAAGTTTTGTTCTCGCCACTAAGTTTTTATCATTGAATTGTTTCCTTCTCGTGATTTGAATCCGATTTGCGGGAATTTGCGGGAATCCATAGGTAATCAATAGGTCACCTTGCTTCTCGTAGAATCCTTTCCAAGTAGTATTCGTCTTTCGGTAGTGGAATATTGCCGTCTCGAAGATAATTCAATATGAGAGGAAAAATTGTTGAATCGCGATCGACAAATAAATTTCCTTGCTGAAAATTGTTACTTTCCGTATTTGTAGGAATCTCGAATAGAATGTCAAACCCCTCATTTTGGGAAACTGAACATTTCTTCTAAATTAAGCCTAATAAGTAACAATGACTTCAACTTGTGTTCCAATTATTAAAAGCAAAGAGATTTTAAGTAAGGACTGGGAAGAAGTCAAAGTGTGATGTAGAACGAAATCTGACGAGCAACTTAGAAAATCCATAATCAGATGGGTTCCTAACACAAGTGTGTTTAGTTCAGTGTGTTGACGAATGAAAAATTACCGTATCCAGTCTTTCTTTCCAGTTATTATTCTGCAACAACTGCTCAAAATAACTGCCTTTTACAGAGGTCAAAGTTGACATCGACGTCTTGAATAGAACCCCTTCAACGTCCAAAGAAATCGTGGAGATCACCATCTGAAGTTGCTTCGTAATTAATAAGACAATCTGATGCTATACAGTAAAGTGTAAAGAGTGAACTAGGCTTTAACATTTAAAGACAAATATTCCTGAGGATAAATTTCCGAGCATTGGTGCCGAATAGGTTCAGCGTAGTCAACGTGTTGCTTTAGAGGTCGTGCTTCTCGAAGAAAATGTATAAATAGAGGTGGAACGTAGAGAACCGTTAACATCTCGACAAAATAACGGCTGTGGACAAGAACGTTTTAGTACTTGAGGTTATCAAAGCACTTCGTAGAATGACACAAACTGTAGGGAATTCCGAATAGCGTAAAATTTTAACCTCTAGGATTTCAACTGCGATATAAAATCGACTAATACATCTAGTTGATAAAGGAACCTTATAAATACCATGGTAGATTCAACATGCAATTTTTCTCTCTAGTCATTTTCTGAGCAGGTCTAACTGTCAATACTATTTGTTGACCCAAGTTTTCTTTAGCATCTCATGAAGCAACATCGATTGAAATAGCGTCTAGGGCAGCGGTGCGACGGCTGGCAACCAGAGAGTGCGCAATTTAGGCTTCAGTCGGATTTCATTCCTTCCCAGTAGACCAAACAATGTTTCCACTTCAGTGTTGTCAAGGAATCTTTAATACGTATGAAAATACAGAAATTGTTTTGAACACAGAAAACACTTTATGAGTTGCGTAATGTTTCCAGAGATCTTCAGTAAGTGTGTTATAGCTCTTGTGGTTTTTTAAGAAAGAGAGTGATCAACCTCAACATCTTTACGGAGACCTATTTCCAGAGATTAGCAGTCACGAAAAATAGATAGAGTAATTACTTCCTTGGTACAATAAACCTGGATTATACTTGCATGTTGGAAATATCGAAAGGCACAGATAGATAGTTTGATAACACCAAGTGCAAGGTGTCATGGAACTGGACTAGGTGGAAATGGCGTTCTAATCTTTTTTGAGTACCATTTAGAGCTGTGCCTAGTCAAACATTATGGCATAGATTCAGCGCGACTGCAACGTGTTGACACGACTGATTGACTATAGAACAGCCTCCACTATTGAAAAGAAGGCGATGAATGTACGGAAATTGACCAAATCCTTAGTTAACACGCTCAGGTATAGAATACAAAGCGTTCGACGCCGATCAACACCTAAAAGACGCGCCAAACTGTTGGTATCGTAGGAGTGATTGCATATTTGGCCTTTAAAATAACTTTCAGGGGCCTACCTGTAGTATTGTCTTTATCTCAAAAACCGACGTATTCAAACTGTACAACTTACACGAGCTTGTAATGAAGCTTTTATTCGGCTAACGTTTCGACGTCATTGTTTTTGATTTAAACATTGGCATTCAATTTAACCTTTGCATGAAGAATAAGGACATGAATCTCATGGTTTATTGGTAGGAATAGACGAGGTTGTAGTCTCTATTGTAGCTAACGCTTCGGTGGTATCGCCTTCTTCAATCTTGTGTAAGTTTGTCAGAAAACGAAAACAATGGTTACCCGTAACGAAGTCCAATGAACGTCGATGTTGAAATTGTTGGCTTACTAAATGCCGGCTAATAACAGTCCGACTACTGCAGGATGGACTGTCACGGTGAAAACAAATTATTTTATTGAAAACGGATGACCACTTTGCATACAGGCAAGATACCAGATGAGGTCAGGTCCTTCATCACGGCGCGAACCACCCTGTATAAAGTTGCTTTACTAGATGATAGTAATTCAATCATACTCAAGCAACGGCGTTGGACGTTCGAATCACCGAGGCTCTGATAAAAACAAGATCGCCGAAGTATTAACCAAAGATTTGTGATGATCTCATGTAAAACTCGAGTCATCCCAAACAGGACTGCCAGACCACTAGACGAAGGACAGCCATGTTAACAGGCAGGGTTTCGAAAAGGATTTAGTACGATAGACCACATTCACACGGTAACACGGCTTATTGAAGTATCGCGAGAACACAAAAGACCGCTCTGTCTCACTTTCATCGATTTACAGAAGGCCTTTGATTCAGTTGAGACGGAAGCAGTCTGGGAAGCCCTTGATAGTCAAGGAGTCACTGCTCAGTACATAAATATTCTTCGTGAACTGTACAAAAATTTCACAATAAAGGTATCACCATTCTACAACTATATGAACATCGAAGTCAAAAGAGGCTTTTGGCATAGGGATACCATCTCGTCAAAATTATTCACGGCCACCCTCCAGAAAATCATGCGAACATTGGAATAGGATATTATGGGAGCGAAAATCGATCGTCGGCAGTTACACCATCTTCGCTTAGCTGAAGACATCGTCACTATAACACCAAACATTAGCCAAGTGGAACATACACTTGCCGACTTTGATAAAGCCTGTGGAAAGATTGGTCTTCGACTATATCTCTGTCCATGAGGAACGGATTGGTTTCGCATGCCCCATTCACGCTTAATGGAATGAATATCTCCGAATACTTCAGTTACGTCTATCTAGGTCGCGAAATCAACATGATGAGCGACTTAGCTCCAGAGTTGAGCAGGAGGAAACGAACGGCTTGGAGAGCTTTCAAAAGCATCGAAGATGTAATGAGGAGAAAAAAGAACACCCGATTCCGTGCCCAGCTTTTCGACTCAACGGTACTTCCTGCGTTAACGTATGCGTCAGAAACCTGGTTGCTACGTAAGCAGGATGAAAGGTCACTCAGCGTTATCGAACGCGCAGTGAAAAGGAGGGTGCTAAGAGTATTCTGTTTCAGACAAATAATCGAAGGGATTGCCAGGTATGCACTCCTTGAAATACACTGGGTTGCTAAATCCTTCTCATATTCGGAAACCTCAGGAGGACCACTGGTAAGAAATTCATTTAATTCGTCTGAAATTGATGAAGACACGTTTGCGTATGTTCTGATGGCACAGAGATTTCTGAACTACTCGCCAAACCTTCAATCCCAGGTAGTTCTTCATCATGAATTTCTATTTTTTTCAGTTCAAATAGGTATCCGTTCGCTCTTTCCAACGAATTGTTAATGAAGTCTGTAAGAAAGAAATCATAAAAACATACAGTTCTTTGAAACATATATATTTTATTTAGCCATGTTTGCAAAAACATATTTGTTCTTAACCGTTTTATTTACTGCCTACTCTTTTTAACAGTAGGGAATATTGTGAAATATAACTTCAATGATGCTGAGATATTTGCAAAACTCCGGAACGCCGCTGTCCGCGGTGAGGAACGAACGCGCTATTGTCCTTTCCAGGGAGTAACGCGTNTCCAGGGAGTAACGCGTTCACCACCACACCATGCGGGTCCTTCGCTTCGATTGTCTCTCAGCTAGTTCTATCGAACAATGCCATCAGCAATCACCCGTCAGTGGGATTGATCTGGGTAGCCCAAATCGGCAATGAACGTTATTGAATGCGCAGTCGAAAGGACGATGCTGAGCGTATTCTGTTTCAGACAAATAACCGAAGGGATCAGAAGCTCCGACCTGCGTGAACGATTAAAAATCAAGGACGCCGTTCTATACGACAAATCTTCGAAGTTAAGGTGGAGTGGACACATAAGGCGTGTGAACGACAACCAATAGATAAGAGTCGTTAGTGACTGGATTCCTCGGGAAATCAAACATAGTAAAGGAAGATCACCTACGCTATGGTGAGAATTCTTCACGAAAATGCTAGAAGAAAGACATAATGTTCAACGAGTCCCTAAAGAGAGCAAAGCCCACTGAGCTACTCTTGCACGGCACAGGGAAAAATGGAAAATTTACTGGCGCGCGCTTGAGTCACGCGACGATCAACGAGACTACAGGTGATACAGGAGATACTCTGCCATAAAAAATTATAGAAGTCAGAAAATAAAAAGTAAATATTGTGAATTCAACTACACATATTATTACTTAGATGCTCCTTCGCGATTTCTGCAATTCTCTTTTTCCCTATACGATCGATGTCCTGTGAAAATCTCGACCACCTTTCCAAATCTAACAGCCATGAATCATTAGCAGGATGGCTAAAATCATTCTCACCTGTTTTAGAACGGCATTCATGGCCCTAGAACCCTTATCTGAACAAGCAGAATTTCGAAACGATTTCGCTATTACAGGTATCCGCAGAGTGGCGGAACTCACTAAAGTTTTATGAGAGCAGATACTGTTGCTACTCTGCATTTTCATCAACTTGAGAAATGCGTTCGATTAGGTTGGTACGGTGACGGTCATGAAAGCCTTGAACTGTAAGGCTATCACAATTGAGTATACAGAGATCCTACATAGACTACACAGGGATTTCACAACCAGGATTTTGCTATTCTACAACGGCAACATCATCGATGTGAACTGAGAAAGATGAAAAGACGAAAAAATCTTGCCAAAACTATTCAGCGTCATTGTCAAGAACATCATATGAATATTAGAATGAGACCTTGACCTCTCCATGCTCTGAGGAAGGCGAAATCCGAACATCAGCTTCATCTTGATAAAGAATAGAATAACACCTCGTGTTTGCTCAACAAGAATATAGCGAATTGTTTGATCAATGCCAAGGCTGATAAAGAATTAGAATGATGTTGATATACAGCCAAGAATATCGATGACTACAGATATTGAGACATCTCGATATCTGAAATATTTGAATAAAGTAAGATTTCTGATTGAACGCGTAGAGGAACTTGTCTTCAGTTAAGGATCTAGGAAACGAATATCGCGGTAGATGGATCCATTTCTGATTCCTCACTCTTGCACTCAACGAAAGGAATATCTCCAAATGCGCCAACTATTCCAAATATTTGGATAAATATTTATCCATGAAAAGAACACCCAGATTACCATATCCACGATCCGCCTTTCCCTAAATCGACAGCATAAAAAGATAAAGGATAAGGCTCTCGGCGTTGATCAATCTCCGAGGGATGCGCCATGCATTCGACCTCATCAAGCATCGTTGGTGATTGATTGCACATTTGGCCTTTACAATGACCCGCGGTGGCCTATCGATGCATCGAGCCAGTGTTGTTATCCTCCTAGACAAGTTTGGTACCAATTTACCAACCGCGCAGGTACGGCGGACTTAGTGGGCCTGGGCAGCAGGGATCGATCCCATGTGTACTGGATGGCGCCTCCAATCACTGCGCTACATGCTGCCTTGTAAACAGCACACCCATAACAAGTGTTCGAGGAAGAATCCAATGTTAACTTTTCGGTCAGTCTTCACATGTGATTCTAACCACGTGCGTCGAGAAATTAGGTTTAATTGCGACTGCTATAAATACAACACATTGGATAGGTGTTAATCGATTCTTCAAATCCAAACCCCTTGTAGAAATGTAATTTGGTCAATCTGCACCTTTGGATAAATTTCTGGAAATGATCACAAAACGCAGAACACTTATAACATGCGAACTTTCTGTTTAGAATTGAGAGGTACTGTGTACTGAATCATAAAGCTTTATCATTTCTTGTCAAAATAATGTTATCCATAGAAGACTATAAACAACAAACGAAACACCAAATGCTTTCAGCGCAATGAGAATCCCCATATTTATGTTACTTAAATAATGATTTTAATCAGGAGCTATCACTGAACAGCATGACCAATCCTTCAACTTCCTCGTCTCCATACCCAATATCACTAGCGTCTGGATTCACTGGTCTCACAAACCGAGGTATAGAGTTAATAACCTGGAAATAAACATAAAAACTGCAACCTCCTCATTTACTTGTTTTATCTCTTGCGTTACTTTTTAAACAGCAGTGTGTTACGAAAATACATTTAAATGATACAGAGATATTTGCAAAACTCAGAACACCAAACTAACTTCTAACTACCAAGGTCCTTGCTTTATCTCTCAACCAGTTTTTACTCTGACGATAGTTTCAGCAATCACCCATCAACGGAAATGATCTGGGGAAGCCAAGATCGGCACTGAGCTCAGTTAAGCCGAAGCTGCAGTCGGATCCACAATGTTTAACTGTTTTAAAATTTACTGCCCATTACTTTTGTTTTATTTTAGTTTTTTATGGCATGATGTTACGTGGAATACACCCATAATTACGTTGAGATATTTGCAAAACCCGGAACCCCAAGCCAGATTCACACAAGCGATTACTCTTTCCTTACCCCTGGAAAAGGTAATAATGGTGGGTTCGAAGTTGGTCTCGGATGATGAATGTTGCAAATATCTCAGCAACATTGTGGCTGTATAGAAATTCTAATTCATAAGTAGAGTAGGTGAAAACAGGAACGTTCGTTTAGCTATCCCACGATGATTACCACAAATTGAGTTAATCTTTATTCTAAAAGAAAATGGAGCACTAGAGAGAAAAAAAGTAGAAAAAGCTCTTGGGCAATTAATTTCCTTGATCAAAGTGAGTGAAATTCATAACGTCACCTATCCTGTTCCTACTTCATCACAAAGAACTTTTCTATTGGCACAATCCATTGATCTAACTTGAAATAACTACCTTTGTAATAATCTTTTCCGGAGTAGCCAACTGATTTTGCTTCTTCAGCATTACAGCTTTCTTATATGCAGGCTCCGTTGGGGGTTGAACAACATCATGAAAAACGTATCTAAAGGAAGGATACAAACGTAACATTCCATAATTGTACAATAACTATTCAACTTTATACGTAATCGACAAGGTTTACTGAACGAGGTGGAACTAAGGTTATTATTACCAACGGTGTGCAATACGTCTCTAACTGGTTACAAAAATTGAGATTTGCCAGTGGAAGTAAATAAGAACCTCCTAAAGGTTTACCGGCTCATCGTGGCAGGGAGGTGATCCTGGGTGTCGGGCGGAGGAATCCGATTTTTCTACCGGTACCATCGTCTTAGTCACCACCGTCTTAGTACCAAACTAGTCCTATGGGGGCAAATCTCCTCCTGATCCACAAGGACGACGACTGCCTGTGGTGATGAAGACCTGGGGCAGACACTGGATAGACTGATCTCCAGGGAACTACAATGGCTAAACCAACAAAACTCCGAAAAAGTGAAAATTATGCTGGAGCTAGTGAAGGCGAGCCATCCAATTATCCAAGTAAGTAAGTAAGTAAGTAAGTAAGGAACTAAGATGAAACATATTTAAAAAAAGAAGGAAGAGAACTAACTCTGATTTTACGGTCCCGGGAGGAGCATTAGGTAAATTAAGGCTGTAGTGTCCATCGCTGTCAAATCCACTTAAATCACCACAAACAACAAAAGGAACGATAACGCGATTGACACCACGCAGTGTATCCGAAGATGCACCTAGATACAGTTTTAACTGTTCAGTCAGTACTAGGAGAAGTATTGAAAAACCTACCGCGATAGTCAGAAAACAGCGGACGTTCTAAGGTTGGTTCAAATCCATCAGGAGGGGAGTATCCTCTGCATACAACGAACGCTTCTAAAGTTAAAATAGAAAGAAAATAGAATTAAAGACCTAGGAAAAAAAATATGAAGCATTCTAACCACAACTGCTAAGTCGACTGCTTTTCGGTTTCGCACAGTACACCTCTTTGAAGAATACTTTCAACTGTGCGTACAGTAAACAAATGTTTCGAGCACGAAAAATCTAAAATAGTCGACCTCATTCAACTGTCTAGGCGGATGGCCAAATAACTGAAGGATAATAATCATGAGAAGCAGTGACTTTTCTTGAAGTAAGATTTAAAGCAATAATAAAAAGTCGTGACCTTTTTTTAATGGGCGCATGTAGTGCAGTGGTCGGAGGCGCCCTGCAATACACATGGGATCGATTCCCGCGCCCCAGGCCGACCAAGTCCTCTGTCCTTCCGGAGTCGGCAAATTGGTACCAGATTTGTCTCGGAGGATAGCAGCGCTGGCTCAATACATCTGTTGTCCACCGCGAGTCATTGTAAAGGCCAGATATGCATTCAATCACCTCCAAACGATGCTTAATGACCGCGAACGCATGGCGCACCCCTCGGGGATTCATCAATGCCGAGAGCCTTTTTAAACTTTTTCATGAACATAAAAGTATGTATCGTATCAAGAAAACAGATTATGCTGATATGAGACAACTACTCTTGAAGTAAAAGTAACCATACCCCTTCTAAGTATTTAGAGCCTAAAACGATAAGCTACGAGAAATAAAAGGCTTTAACGTGTGTTTAAATTGTTGGCCTTACACGAGGTTAAAAAATAATTTTATTCAGCTAACGTTTCGACGTCTTCGTTTTCATCAGAACCCGAAAGCCAGTTTTTGAAATACAAAACACTTTGTGATCGCTTTTGACCTACTGCCTATTCTTTTTTCATGGCAGGATATGATGTGAAATATAACCATAACGACGCTGATATTTGCAAAACTCCGCACCGCAGGCGCCCGCGGCGAAGATTGAACCACGTCATTACCCATTCAGTGGGCTAACGTGTTTAACACCTCACCATTGTGATTTCAACTTCAACTTAACTGGGTTCAATGCCGATTTATGTCCCTCCTCCCAGATCAATCCCGTTGATAGGTGATTGCTCATAGGGCCTATAGAAAACACCCGAGAGAAAGGCGAAACGAAAGACCCGCATGGTGTGGTGGTGAACGCACTAGTCCCTGTAAAGGGTAACAGCGCGTTCGTTCCCCATTGCAAACAGCTATGGTCTGAAGTTTTGCAAATATTTCAGCATCATTGCCGTTATATTTCACATTTAAAAGGTTTCGTTCTTACCATTAAGCTCCCGTTATGGAAAACTTTTCGCCTAAAAGTTTCAGCTCGTAAAACAAAAGTTTCCACCTTTGCAACAAATGAGCCGCCTATTTTAAGGATGTTTGTTGTGATGTTCAGCGCTGCCAGTACCAATTGCGACTGCATATACTCATCTAAGGAGTGAAGACCAGTAACTGTAAAGAAGCAGAGGTTATCAGATAACACGACAGATGACAGCAGATGAGAAACCGGTCGAACAACACATCGCAACGGATAGAACTTACCGTCAGGTGCTCCATCACAAACCACCAAATCAGCAAGCGCTCCAAAAACCTCAGTGATCTTCTTCGCTGTAGTGTTCTAAACGGATTTCCTTAGAGCTACTACAAGATGTAAGACAAACTAGCGATAAAAGAGAGAGAATTCTCTTTCACCCACATCTGTGATGTCACCTCGAATCTGAACCACGCCATTAATAGGGGACATCGGCTGTAAGTCAACAGCGACGATTTTCACTTCACTCGGATCGTTGGCGTTCTCCAGAAGACGTTTCGACAGCACCTGCAAAGTTTCTGTTTAAGAGAATTTAGCGCTTAAGGGTAGACTGTAACTCCCAGGCTACATGTAACACTTAAAATTGTCTATATTCTGTTGAACAAACATGTGATGTTAAGTGCTTGTTCCTGTAAAGCCGACGTTTCGGCTCAGCTTATTGCGTTCTTAAGACCTTGGAGAGTTAAAAGGATCTGGAAATTGTCCCTAAACTACATTAAGCTAACAAACTGTTGCTCTAAGGAAGTAACCTACAATAGTCTGAAAACCGGAACCCATTGGTTCACTAAGAGCTGAGAAAAACTGGTAAACAAATTAACAAACAATAGTGTTACAGTGAAAATCTACTCGATTTAAAGACGTACTTGACTCCAACTGCCCGGAGCAGCACATAAATCAACGACTTTTGTAACATCTGAAGTAATGGAATCACTGCTTTCTTGTCAGGAAACTTGGGTAAAGAAAAATCTACGCAAGACTTGTGTAGATACTTTCAAGAATTCTGAACTCGTCATCAATCTGAAGAAGTTTGAAAGCGCTTCTTGCTCTCCATCCTTGCTCCTTAGCCATTCGATAATAGATATCTCGCTGATCCTTCGATGTTTTACCCATTGCCTTAAAGATTTACAACTATAGACGTAGAAAACCCTCATCCAACAAATTGTCCCTTCATGGAAACGATGCAAACGACTAGTAGGAGCCATAAGTCGGAACGGCCACCTCTTACCGACAAATAAGTGGGAGTCCTCCGTAACTTCAGACACTGTTATATAATATTCGCGCTCATCCAGAAAAAAATTGTTTATGCGTGGTACTACGTAGTGCTGTTCAGTGTTTCCTTCATTCAAATCGCTTTGTGATAGTATTTATTAGTGTAGCATGAGCACGTGTAGCGCGGTGGTTAGATGCACCCTGAAACGCACATGGGATCGATCCCACTCCCCAGGCTCACCAAGGCTTCCATCCCTCCAGGGTCGGGAAAGTGGTACCAGACTTGTCTAGTAGGGTAGTAGCACTGGGTCAGTACATCGGTAGACCGCGGCGAGTCATTTTGAAGGCCAGATATGCCTTCAATCACCTCCAAACGATGCTTAATAAAGTCGAATGCATGGCGGATCCCTCAAGCATTGATCAACTCCGAGAGTTTTATCCTCTTAGCTTTATCATATATAGTACTTTTCGACTTTAACGACTTTAATAGGCATTTCAGTGAGTTTACGAAAGTTTTGGTCCATCTGCTTGAGAGAGCTCTGAACTGTTTATTCGTCTGTCTAATCAATATTTATTTATTCGTTTAATGTTTAGATCCATCGTCGCGTATCTGCCGTTCTCAGGCATTTACTGGTGATATTCTTGCGGAGTGGCTTATGTTAGAATGTCATGTACGGCAACGGTGAGTGATCCCAGTTGATTACAAAAGCTAGCCAATATCTCTAGCGACGTTGGTTTAAACTTCGGAATCGGCTTTTGTTATTCAGAGGATCGCTTCTCCATCTCAAGAATCCCATCGATCGGTGAAAAGGAAATCCACTGAGAATTTACTGGCTACGATGGATAAGCGGTGTTTAGTGAAGGATTTTGCGTGCATTTTGTGTCAACGAATATGTAACGTCCCTGTCGCAACTACGGTTAGTAGATAATCTCAGTGAAGATAACGATATAAAAGTGGTAGATAGAAAACTAGCTGAGAGACAGAAGAAGCGAAGGACCCACATAGTGTGGTGGTAAACGCTTTAGCCCACGGAAAGCGTAATGGCGCATTCGTTTCCCACCGCAGACACCTACGGTCCAGAGTTTTGCAAACATCTCAGCATCATTATAGGCGTCCGTTTTTTCTTGTATGGTAAATATTACACATATTAAATGTTTCCTCATTTACTTAGAATGTATTCCTTCTTTTGATAAGCTTATACGAGGTTAATAAATTATCACTATCAAAGGCTATTAGATTAAGATCATTATTACCTAAAACTGTTATTATTGTATTAGAATTGTAGATCAACCTCGTGCGAGCTTATCAAAGAAAGAATACGTATTGATTAGTCACACCAAGGTTAAATGAAAGTTGGTTTTGAAAAATTAGTAAGGATGGTTTTGTTCTATGAACGTTTTCAGGTGTGTATGCATAGGTTTTGTGAAAGTTGCATGAGTCCTCGAATAGCAGCCGGTAATCTGAGATGTCCTCGATGCAACACTCAGCTTGACCGGAATCAACCTGTTTGCCACGATTCGAATTTTCAAGACATCATTAGAAAGGTATTTCTATTTTTTTTTCTTGTGTTATCCAGTCTTAGAACGATTTTCTTCTTTAGATCGATTTCGACCTCAATACTGTGCATGATTTATTCACCCGCAAACCACATTCTATTTGTAAGTTGGCAATCTTTTTGTGTGCTCTCTGAAGTCAAGTCTATGTATGCCTGTTTCCAATTGTTTACCACTTGAATTGGCAGCCTTAGATTGCATTGTCATTGTTGATTCTAGCTAGTGATGAGGAATACATGGATATGTGCAACGTTTCTGAGGAGCGTAGGAAGATCATCAGAAAAAAGGCGGCACCTCAAAGCAGAATCCATCCTCTAGCAGCTGAACATGGTGCGTTATGCGTTCAGAGTGATTATGTTTTCCGAATTTGTTGAGGTTTCCACTATTGAGTAGTATAAAGTAAGCTACACAGAAAGAAAGTTTCCGAATTCCACGTTTATTTTCTCCGTTCCTAAAGTATTTGTTTACACTGTTTCCAATATCTTGCCGTATTTGTAATCTTACGGGCATATTAATTATTTAGCTTTCTACTGGGATCGGATGTTTCAAGGGAGCAACGCATTGGTGCAGCGGTATTTTAAGAAAATGGGGTTGCCACACCACGATCCGCCTCTTCCATTACCAAGAATTCCTGAGCACGACGGAGTTGACGCGGAGGAACGACGACCCTTTCGCATCTATGGAAATCTCATCAACCATGTATGTGCGCGAATTCAGAGGTACATCAGGTTTAATGAAGACGCTATCCCTTGGTTTTTTAAGATCCCTCCTCCTCTTCGTGACAGAAGAATCAAAGATGGAAGCAGTGGTTATTACGACACTGAGTATAAACTGTTTGAGGTTTGCTTTCATGAAATATTTTTCGTGTTTTATATTCATTCTGTCTCATTTAACTTTCATTAGAACGATAATCTTAAGTGCAATAAGGATCATGTTTGGCCAACAATCGAAAAAAAGGAACCAAACAGATTTGGAATCACTGCGGAGTACAGAAAGAACGTAGCTAAAGTGAATCGTATGCTGCGGTCGAAAGCTCGAACCATCGAAAACGTTTCCGGTGAACACGCTGAAGCTGAGTCTGGAGATGAAAAATCACTGGTTAGTGGTAGACAACATGAGGAGATCGTTGTATTCCTCAGATCGTACGAAGTTTTTCTACGTTTTGATTTTTTGATTCTTTTCAGGGAGATATCTTTCTCGAAAAGGAAGCGAATGGAGAATCATCAAATAATGACTCGGTTGATTCCGAAGATGTCAAAGAAGAATTTTGTGTAAGTTGTTGTATAAGTTTATAGTCTCTTTTTTTGTCATGTGCAGAAAGTGTCCCTTATAATTGCAAATAGCTCATAATTTATAGTTTTATAAAAAGAATGGCATAGTCATGATATTGTTGTTGTTTAATCAGTTGACGAAAGTACGCTTCCAATTTTTTACACTTTTTTAGTTTTTGCACCTTGAAGTTTAGAAATGTTCTGTGGTTATCTCTCGTCATCCATTGTATCCTATTACCATATATTGTATCCTATTACCTTCATCACACCTACTTTGCAGATCCCAGCACTTTTTTTCATTCGATTCGTTTTCATTTTGCACTCGTCATCCACGAAGGCCTTACGACTTTTACATGTTGTTTTGGGTGCCGTTTGAGAATCTTATCGTTTTTATGAATGTCTAAGAATACTGGTCGAGTTGATTCTTTCTGGAACCTTCGGATAGCGGGGTTAGGATGTCCCTACGTGGACTGGATGAGAGCATTGTAAATGGGGTCGAACTAGCGCCTTGCTTCGTGGACTATACCACTAGCCACTCTACTGTTCCATCATGTCTTTACTGTAACATTTTTATTTCTGAAACCTAAACTGGACTACGTCAAATCATTTTACCACTTGGAAACCAGTGCAAGTGTGTTCGACAAAAATAGGTTACCTGAATTGGAGTGAAGTGGTGTGGTTATTGCTCAATATTAACTACTCTCGAAGCGTTATCAGATATGTAAACCTCGTGGACCATTAGTTGCTGTTGCTACATATTTGTTTTATACTAGTGTATGAACTTGGTTGTTGTATTTTCGTCTTTTATCTGCCTTCGATTTGGCTCTGCACTCCTATTTTGTCCTTGAGACATTCAGTCAGAAGATTAAAACAGTGTTTTATATCACTTTTAAATTTGGCGACCGTAAATATTCTATGAGTTAAGAGTCGTAAATTCCTTCTAATTGTCTAGTTTCCTTATTTCGAAGTGACACTTTCTACTCTGCGTTATCTGTTCCACATTCCCCTTATCACTTACCATGGGTTTTGTTTTAATGTTACATTAGCCAATTACTATTTGTTAAGGAGCGTCAGCATTTATATCTGTCTCGACAGTCAGCGAAAACGGTTGAAGTGATTCTTCGTCCTAATCGCAACCCGAAATCGTCTTCTCGTCTGATTTCTCCACGTGAACTTCCTTCATTCTATCTGTTTGTGGATGAAGCAGCTACTATCGCTCATCTACAACAATTTATTTTGATGCGAATTAATTTATCGTGCTCACGGACGAAGGTGGGGACACTCATTGAACTGCTGATTTTTGCTGATATTTTTCTGCTGCTCAGATTAATGTGCGCAGTATAGGTTTTCACGTTTAGGTTTCAATACTTATGAGCAAGATAATATGGGAATGTAAAGCTGCCCGTATGGCAATGTTGCAGTGTATTCGCGATGTAGGTCTTTTACATATGTGTTTACTGTTCTTATACTTCATCTATATCATTGGTCCCTCGGCAACGTTTTTATTTCAGCCTGAATCCAACTCTTCATGCATATCTTCTTTGAAAGGTGGTTGCTTTGTATCTCTACCAATGGCCTATATATCATCACAAGCTTTTCGTATTTTATTTCCAGGTATTAGTGCAGCAGCTGAAATAAAAGATATAGCCAATAGCACAGCATACACGATCAGCACAAAGGATGGAGATAGTACGGTGTATGCAACAATGTATCCTGTTCAGAAGCTGGACGAAAGTTTGCATCTCGCTGATGTGAGTTTTCCTCTCAGTTTATGATTCTATATCGACCGACATTACTAGTTTTCAACTGCTCTTTGTTATAAAACATCTTATAGTTCGTGAAGATTGAGCAGCATCCATTTTGGAAGGAAAGACAATGAAACAGCTCAGAACCGATGATTAATGTGTTGTTCGCTAATCAAATAATCATAATGGTCGCTAGTAATGGAAATCATAATAGCACAGTTATATACCCAAAGGTGTCCTTCTCTGAAGAATCTCCAACCGACAAGTGGTTAAACACGTGCTTGAAGCGACCTTGTGCTTTAATGAGATACGTGTGGGTTCAGGAAAACTTTTTTAGGACTGTAGGTTTTTGATCTCATTGATTCCATGAATTGACATATAATCTGTGTATTTATGTTAACACATTCATGGTTCGTGCATGAGTGTGATCGCGTATACGAAAATTGTGTCTTGCAAGTCAGTTTTGTTAAAATCCTCCAAGCAGTGTGGCTGGGAAGTACATAGGTGGTTTTGAGTCGGCTTCAACGAACAAAAATTCCTTTACCACATTCAAAGAAACGGAAGATATTCTTTGGTATCAGTCGCCAAAAATGGTAAAAATAATACCGCCCATTGGTCAGAATATTCCATGGCAGAGTCCGCGATGCTGTTATCCTCTTAGCCAGAATAAATCCATGGACGACGATCCGAATCGGATTTTAAAAATCTATTTGATTTATTGACACGCTAGCGGACCTGGAAGCTTTGAAGAGAGAGTCCATACTCAATGCATCAAAATCCTTCGTGAGCTGTATAACATCTTCAGAACCAGGAATTCGCCAGTTTTTAGCGGCAGTAACATTCGTATAAAGGGAGGAGTTCGACAAGAAAATACATTTTCGCCAAAGTTACAACTTTCGAGAAGGTCATGCGAAAAGTAGAGTGGAATAACATATTAGTGAATATCGGTGGTCAGAAACTGAACCACCACTTTCGCTTTGCTGATATTATCTTTATAACATTAGACAGGCTTGACGATTAGTGGTGTATTTTGAAAACGCCATGTGGAAGCATTGATCTTCTTCTGAATCTCAAGAAGGCAGCATTTATCAAAACAGCTTTGATTTTGATGTCCCATTTATGCTGAACAGAAGAGTAGCATTGAATGCTAGAGGTCAAAGTATATTTGTGTGGAGAAGTCGCGATAATGGATGATTTAGCTCAAGAGCGGAGCAGAAGAAAGCGAGCTGTCTGTAGAGCGTCGAAAATCTGACGAAATGAATTCTCCCTGTTTTAACGCATTCGCTGGAAAAGCATACAAAGTGAAAGACCACCCAGTGCTGTAGAAGTATAGTATGGAGGGCGATGCATCATATGTATGAGAGAGAGAATCCGACGCTGCGACTGATGTACGCAGTCAAGGATCAGGGTGGGCTCCACACACGCTAAAATGTCGAAAATTTTATGGAATCAGCACCTGATGCGCCTTAATAACAACATATGGACACCAGTCGTTAGCGCCTGCTTGTATAGAAGGTGTACTGCATTCTCAATAGTTTGCTACTGGCAGTGGTTTACTCTTAGCTTAGTTACTTGGTGAAGTTGTCGAACTCCTTCGCTCACTTTGCTGACACTGTGGACGGCTATGCATCGTAGTTCAACACCTGAGAATACCTTTAGCCACAATAAGCCAGTAACCCATTGCAGGTGGGATTTCTAATTTACCTGAAATGAATTTATGTTAACTTACTTGTTATGCCAAACTAAGGTCATAAAGGTTGCTAGTAGCAATATCTCGATTGAACTCGGTGTGTTTTTGATCCCTAATTGGTTGCAGTCAACTAAATTTCAGATTCATGAAACAGAGAAGAAACCAATTATAACCTTATTATACACCGTGGCTCCTTGCACAACGTCGGGCTCGGATTGATAGTGTTTCGACGATGGAAGTGCATTGCCTTTTCTGTTCGTTTGACTCGTGTTTTCCTCATTTCCTCTCATCTACTTCCAGTCATTTAGTTCTCAGTTGCCTTGTGTTGTGACTGATGTGTCTCTTTATTACTCGCTTTAAATTCGCATTCTCTGTCGTCGATGAGGGTCCGTTATTACTGGTTTTAGTATTCGAGAACTAGTGTCCACTCTGTTAAAGTGATTTTGCTATTTTTCATATATCTTCTGGTGATGAACATAATATTCATGTATATACTATTTCCATTTGACATGCAGAAGTCAGAAGTAGAATTTGTAGTTCTGAGACGTAATGCAGAGAGTTTATTAATTGATGATCACTGAATTGCCATTGTAATTAACGAATCCTTTTAATTTGTTATACTTTGGAGATAGGTTGAGCTAGAATAAAGTCTACAAGACTATAGCTAGTTTTGAATTTCATGGGTTGAGTGACAAGGAGAACTGAGCTGAAATGAGGGCACTGTTTGTTGAATTCCAGATCTGATTGCTTTTCGCATTGCAACTTCACATTCATTACTTATTCAGTGAAGAAGAAACACTCAAAATACAAATACAACATTGATCCGGGTACAAACTAACATCGTCCACGACACTGAACTGCTTCCAGCACGACGATGTTTTCTAGGAGCGTTCCGTAGTCCTGGAATCGTTCCCACATGCGAAAGCAGATGGTAACATATTGGACAAAAAGAAGGACTCCATGAGAATGCAAGCGTCCTCTTGGACGAAACGATAGGCGGACGTCCACCCAGACGTGGTGGTGATGATGTCCAAAGAATGTGTCCCTAGACGTCCGCCTATCGTTTCGTCCAAGAGGACGCTTGCATTCTCATGGAGTCCTTCTTTTTGTCCAATATGTTACGTTTTCCTTATTTTGTGACCGGCCAATCTGTTTTTCGCTATCGACCTATGTTGTCATGGATCTCAAAGAAGAGATAGGTTTCGATAATCAGCGTATTTAGGCAAGACGTTCCGAGTGCTGGTTAGATTTCAAAATATATCGTTCAAGTGGTCTCTGGTTAGTGCTCAGAGTTCTCGACGTGGTTGAAATATTAGCCTATGTCACTGTTGCAAGACAACGTTATAGGAGCACTGTTAAGTGAAAAGTTTAGCGTAGAGTTCTGCGTCCGTTAGTCGATGGCTTGGTTCAGAATTCGGCATCGATCTATTGTAGAACAGTCGTGTTCGTTTCTGATCCTTTTACGTGAGAACAGTTACCAGTTTAGATATCTTCACCCAGGAGCAATCAAAGACTATGATCCCTTGGAATGATCTAAACACTAATTTTAGACATCCGTACTAACGGTAAGGCGGACACGAAGACGATTTCAGCACTTTCATCTGAGCATTTTCATCTCTGCACATGCTTCTGATAGTTTCATAACATAGTTTCGAATAGCTCGAATACTTTTCGAATATTTGAATGGGTCAGGGTATGTCCAGATCGTTCCCGCTCACTGATGGTTGCTAATGGCACTGATCAATAGAACTAGTTGAGAGAGGGAAAACGAAGGACCCGGATGGTGTGGTGGTGAAGTGCGCTACACCCCGGAAAGGACAATAGTGCGTTCGTTCCCCACCGCATACACCTGCGGTCTGGAGTTTTGCCAATATTTCAGCATTATCTTAACGTTATAGTTCTAGTCATCCAAGTATTGTACGTTAACAAGTGGTTCAATACCTTCTTACATTGTTGAGCTGATATTGGTTATTGATTAATCACTCTGTGGGTAAGCGTAAGTTGGTTTAATAGAATATTGATGCATTTTTACTGACCACTATACATACCAATGAAAGCGAAAAAGCTTCGATGCAGTTTGTTTGAATGAAAATATCAGAGTTACCAACGTCATAGGTCGGCTAGGAGATGCGAAATCATGCCGAACTGTCTACACCACTATCAAACGCTTGTACAACACTTTCTGCCTTTTGTTTTTCTGCACTTTTTTTTATAACCTTTTAAAAAGCGTCTGTCTCAGCGGTTAAAAATACGGTGAACTGCAAAAGTGTTCCTTTATTCAAATTTGTCACTTAGTATCCAAGCCTCTCCGCTCTCTAAAGTGAATAAATTACCGCTAGACCTATCTAGGAAACGCCTTTCTCCGATCCACAACGACAGGCTGCGATGAAGACCTGGGAACGTTCTAGCAGGGTTATCTCAGGCTTTCAGGAAGAACCGGCTCAATCAGCATTCAGCGGAATCAATATCGCAATTCGACCCAATCTGCATTTAAATCCAGACACAGTATCCCCAGTTAGCAATTAAATCCACACATAAATCCGAAGAGCTTCGTTGATAACAGGAGCGAGACAATGAGCAGAATGAAAGGAGTGATGGGATGAGCAGAATCTTTCCAGCTAGCACGCTTTATTTTTAAATGACACTTTTTTTTGCTTATTTTCGCACTATGCATAATTTCAGAGTGCTACGTCTACCGTAAATGCTCTTCTTAATGCTTCTTCTGTCATGACAAATTGGTTTTGCAAATTCAGGTCATTATAGAGCATATGAAAAGTTGGTTCCTTAAAATTTTGTAGGAATTCAAGCTTGAACACGAAACGTCAAAAACTTCCTCCCTATATCAAAGTACCTTTAGGTGGGAGAACCGGTAAAAAAACTACAGTGCAGCATTTGTTTTAAAAGTTTTACTGTGGAAATGAGAGTCCTGAAGACGAAAGTCGATATCGTGTCGATGTTGACCACCAGAAGAGGATAACTGAAGATGTTCCATACGTGGCACTAAGTGGACTTGCAGAAGAGCTAGAGTTGATTATGGACGAATTTTTGGACCACCTTATGGAAACCCTGTAAGGGAATGTCGTGTGTTGACTGAAAAGAGACCGTTGTAATGAAAAAGTTTCGTATGAACTGTTTTTGAGCAGCAAGGCTGATTCTTGATCGCGTTGTGATGGGCAACGGAGAATGGATCCTCCATGACAACTGGCAATGTCCAGTAAAGTACTGGGTAAGGTGAAGTGCCGAAAATCGTCATTAATCAACTCTGAGTTTAAAATTATGTTGCACAACAACGAGTGCGAACCAGTTCACTTTTTCCGAGCAATCCTGGAAAAGTCAAAAGAATTGGTATAGAGAAATTTCTCTCAGTCAGCATTCTTGACAGCCTTCTTGCTGACTGCCTGCCTCTGTTCCAACAGCTCAACAACGAACTGCTGCTGGAAATTT